AAGTCTTTAAAGCAAAATTTGAATGATCTCTGAAGTACATCAGCATCCTCTTCTAGTTTGCTATGCCTTATTTTTCATGTAGAAATGAACAGGCAACACCATCCAGACCTGATGCTTCCATTTAAGTTTTGGAAAACCTACAGAAGGGAGCACGGTTAGTAAAAAATTACAACCTTTTCCGTTCCTGGATGGAGATGGACGTCATCTTGAGTTCCCATTATATAGTTCAGGCTTTCAACAGGCTCTTGCTTTACTGTAAATGGAAAGATAATTAACTATGTTCTCTAAAAAGGACATCCTTTTGTTTTCCCAGCACGTGCAAACAGATCTAATACACTGTTAGAATAGAAAAAGATCTCCTACCACACAAAATGTGTTTGCACTCGAAACTTTCTGCCAGGCCACACTAACACCACGACAACATTGCCTACTTTTTCAGTTACTGTAAACAGCTAGCACCAATCCTTTACACACAAAGCAATGCAGCCAGAAATGGAGACAGAACACACTGCACCAACTCCTTTCTCACATTTGATGTGTTACTCTCCACCAGCACACTGCCACACGCTTCCTATTGCACAGATAGCTGGTCAGGTTCAATTAATTTCTTTTAGCACACTCAGGATGCCTATGCAGTAATAAGAGGTAGTGAAAAGCATCGTTTTTATTAAGTTTTGAGGTTCACAATAGTAGCAAATTCCTTGATTTGCATGTTTTTCCTTCCTGTTCTGTTTGTAGATTGTGTCAGAAAATGTCAAACCTTAATGGGAACTGTTTCTCTGATTTAGCTAACTTAAAGGGAGCTGGGAAAGGGGAATGTCTGTGCCAGGATTGGAAAAGCATGTTTGAGAGACAAGGCATGCGATCAGCAGACTTATGAGTAGCATAATTAACGGAATCAGCAAAAGCAGGTACAATTGACCTAGTCAGCTTACACCTGCACATATCCTAACGCACTATATATTAAACTCATTCGCTCCTGGCATCCTTTGAATTCCTAATAACTATTTTTCCAAAGATAGTTTCATCTCATGAATGAAATATACACGTAAAGGTAAAGTCATTACGAAGAGCGGGTACATAACAAGTAATAAAAAGCACTTGCAGTTTCTATTTCAATATTTCCCCTCTTTAAACAGCACTGAAGATGATGAAAGTTATTTCCAAAACCTGTATTTCTCGTTTGCTACCCGTGCTGCACACGACTGTACTCCTTACTGATCAGCATTCCCACAACCTGATGGGCGATAACAAAACACCTTTAAAACCCCAAACACAGTTCTCAGAGCACTCCACCGCCAGGAACTCTCAACGCTCAGGCTCCCCGCGCACGACTTCGGAGCCAAAGGGAGCGGAGCACCAGCCGAGAGCGGCTCAGCCGTCCGCCAAGGGCAGTGACGTGAACTCGCCGTCGTGCTGATGGCTGATGCGGTGCACGGCACTCCCTGCTCACCCGCTGCCCAGGAGCTCTCAATGCGGTGACCCTGCCAGCACCTTTTTCCTCTCCTCCCCCTAGTGCAGTGAGCCATGTGAGAAGCACAGGATGATTGCAACCTCTCGCCTTTCATTAACACCACAGGGTCCAAATAAATTCTATTCTCCAGAAAGTCATGTCTGGTACATTAATCTGGGGCCCCCTGACTACACTGCAGCTCTGAGTCAGTATTATTTAGCAACTACCCTGTTTTCTTCAACATTTGGACTTCTGTTAGAAAAACACATACTGGAACACCACGCATCTTGCCATTTTACTGCACACTATTGTCTGGTACAGGTCCCAGTGTTTTCAAACGGGCAGGCCCAGACAACAGCACCTATGAGTATGAAACGTGTGTTCTCTCTTTTAGGCCAAACAAACAACCACCAGGTTTTTTCTAGCAGGTAACACTAGAGTAACTTGCCAGAGATGTATTGTCCACAAAACTCCAGCAACACCACATCATACATTTTATCTATAACTGCGCAGGTACTTTTTTCCAGTAAGTACCAGTCTGAAATTCTCTCCTGTAAGTCTTTCGATTTCTGTGCATCTAGACTCCCCAGTAATACTTTTCCCTTAGTGGGCACCTAGAAAACTTCATGTATGCACAAGAAGAAACACCCCAAAAAATTACCTTCTGTTCTTCTGTGAGCCACTGGGGATTTGTCAAAAATTTTCCCTACGCAGAGGCCCATTTTGATTTAAAAAGAGGCCAAGTACTAATTAAAAAGCCTGTGTGGGCATTAGCTGGTGTTAAGCAGCATTTTCATATCTCCATGGGTATTTGTTACCAATGCCATATCCTATGTCGATACATTGTTAGCTGTAATCAGATAGGAAATCTCATTTGCAAAGTCTGCTGCATCAGCGAGATCAACACCTTGTCTTCCCCTTGCTGCCATGGAGCTGGAGTTCACAAAATGAATAACATACTCTGAGGTCAAAGCAATGTTTCATGGAACCAACACGATATACAAAAATAATTAAAATTTATATATATGAGTTGCTGCCATTTCCCTGCAGGAGACAAAGAACAACTCCACAAGGCAGACAGCATTACCCAAGTGCCTCTTCCAGTACTGAAATTCTGCCGTTAACCAGTGAGAAAGGAAGATGAAGTTAGCTGCTTACCTTCTGCGCTTATTTAGAAAGCCCCACGCAGAGCAGAAGCTGCCACAGTACAACACAATTCTATGGGAAGCTGTACTTAAGATTCAGAAGGAGCAAAAAGTGTGTGCATATTTATACATGCACAAAAAATGATCTTTCCTGCTGTTTTTCGAGGAGCTGAGGAGAAATGGGGAAATATTTTTGTTGTCAGACCAACTACTAGGACTTATATGACCTGCATAAATGTCGTTGGCATTGGACGTGACCTTGAATTGTAAGGACTCACAATACAACGTGCAAGACTCAGCATCAGAATTTCTTGTCGTTTCACTGCAAGTCTCTCAGCATTTTGTATTTTCAAAGCTCCAGTCACAGAGTCAAACAGTGAAGAAACAGTCTCAGTTTTCACTATAATTATTAAATCATCTTGCAGAGGAAAGGTGAACAACATGACCCAACTGCACTTAAAAACTCACACTGGTGGGCAATTTAAAAAAAGAATAATAATCAAAGCACACCTTAAAACGCATAATTTTGACAAGTCAATCGTGTGATTTTCCAGCAACTGGACTGCAGCTTTTTAAAAGCTTGAGAGGTCAGTCATACCACCAGTAGATCAACAGTTCTTTAAAATGAGTGACTCAGTCTCTGGAGCGACTGCATACACGCAGCCTAATTTAGGTAGGGATCCCATAAGAAAACAAGGAATGGCAAAACCCATCACCTTCAGCCTAAAGTAGCACGGGATAAGAGATTTTCATATAACGGACCGGATGAAGGGCTGGAAGATAGTCTAGAATCAAAAAGATGGTGAAAGCCTTTTTGGAACCCTGGTAATTTTATTCTGTTCTCTCTAAATGCAGTGTTGCACTCGCTCTGTTCCAGCCCAGGACTAGGAGTCAGCACTGGACCACACAGTGCTCCTCGCTTCTCTCACTCATAAAAGGGAAGGGCGTCGCATACAAGATGCTCCTGTGCCCTGGTCAGCCTCAAGCACAGGCAAAAGATGAGGTAACATCAACAGGCAGAGAAAAAGTGGAAACCCTCTACGTGGGACAAGAGCGAGCTGTTTTAACCAAACAAATTTCAAATTCAACCGCAAACTTATAAAACGGCAGTCTACTGCATTAGGACACCAAGCAATGCAACAAACAAACGTAAAAAAGATATCCATGGTATTTCTGCTAATGAACTTATTTTCCATTCTCTTAAGAGAGAAAACAGGAAAGAAAAGATATAACATACGCAAGTACATATTACCTTTTTCACTCTACTGTTGTGTCGACGCATGATTTTAACAACAAAAAGGCAGACACGTGCTCCTAACACAGCTGCGTGACAGTTTTAAGCCAGGCCTTCTCTTCCGCACAACTTCATCTCATTCCTCAATCTAACGTTTGCTCATAAAGAGCGAGTCAAAGCCACCAGTAAAGCAATTGTGAAGGACAAAAATTAGAAAATATGTAATTATTTACCACAAAATACTACAGATACTTTTTCCGTTCTCACTTAATCTGTGATGGATGCCTAGCTGCACTATTTACCAGGAGAACAAATGTATTAACCCCACTGTACACAGATCCAAGGACTGAACACAGAAGGAAACACATAATCAAAAATAAACTGAAATATTCTGTTGTTAATTTCTGCCATGATAATTTACAAGGTACGAAAACAGTCAAAAAAACCTCAGAAAAATAGTTTACCGAATCAGCTTTAACTTTTATCCTTTTAGTAATGTTTTTCAGAAATTTAACATCGCAGTTACATGTGTCAGCACCCAAATATATAAAGTATTTTTAATATCTTCGCTACTGGTCAAAGGAGCAGAAAGTACTGAAAAAGCCTAGGAGGTTTCTGTCCCATGAATTAGCGTCATGTCCTTACGCCACTGTTCTCAATGACACTGAAATTTACATTTATATACCATTTTTCAGCAACATCCCTCGTGTCACTAAACCTATCTCCGCAGAATTTCGGGGAAATAATCGCATAGCAAAATCAGTAAGTGGTATCAAATTCTCCTGAAGGATCGTACTCCAGCTGGTGCGAGGCACTTGGGAGAGCTGCAGATTGCTGATGGAGCACAGACTCCAACGGGAGTAGAGCCACCCATAATCTGTGGAACCACGAGCTGTCTACACAAATACCTGCCTTTTTTTTTGGCCCTAGACTAACCCATCGTAGCTTTTTGAACCCACACAAATTCCACCCTCAAAGTGGCAAGTTTCAAAGACTTGCCTACAGAGACATAACAGAGCTTCCCCCCACCCCTGCAAGCCAAGTCTTGGCTCATACTTTTCTGTCTGCAAACAAACCGATCCGGATTCTTCAACATTCTGGACTTTGACAGGACTCCACGTTAGGTGCCAGATTTCAGGAGCAGCTGCATTCCAGCTGGCATCGCTACACATGCTCTTCCCCGCACAGCGAGCAGCCGAGCAGGTTCAAGCCATTCCAGCCCTCCTCTTTCTGGTGGCTTTCCTGGCTGTTTTCCGTGTAAATGCGGTCAAGTATACATTCCATCGTGCAACTGACTGAACGCTGACTCATCTGAAAACAATTTACAGGATTTATCGTTATCTTTGCTCTGACATTTCCTCACCAAAAAAGAAATCAGGAAAATCATAATCAAGAAACTGAACTGAATATCCCTTGAAGGGAAATCTTTATCTTCATAGAGTCTTGTGGCCAAGATGTTCATGTTTTCCCTTGCCACATCAGAGCAGTATTTATGACCTGGAACTAGTTCTCAGGGGGCTGAGGTTCTCGCCTGAAATTCATAAGCTGCACAGCAAAGACCACTGCGCACCCAACGGCTCTGCAGATCCCACAAATCCTACAGCTCTCGTTAGAAAGACAGTAGTAAGAGCAGCAAAGCACCTTCCATTTGCCAGCCCCACGTGGAAAAAAGAACGAAGCAACGAACAAACGTAGCTTCAGCTTTCATGGGTGAATTTTGAGACTTGAAAGTATCTAGAATTTATATTTTAAATGAGCAAAGAGATAATCCTGATCTTAAAAAGCAATAACAGGGAGTGGAAAAGGTCAGCATAAACAGGCCCAATACAGACAACAGCGTTGTATTGAGGGTCTGTCTGCATCTGGAATTATTTGTGAGCAGCTGTTCCTGAGAAGTTCCATGTGTGAGCAAGCCCTTGAAAGTAAGAATGTATTCAAAACCAGAGACGTTTGCTGGAGAAACAGTTTTTGTGTGATTTGGCTGTCTCTAATGTTTGTTAATGTACATTGAAGCGTGGAGAAATGAGGTATTATTCCTATGAGTAAGCCAAAAAGTAACATCTCCACCAAGCTAACTACTTCTGCTCAAGAATTGGAAAGAAGCCATTTCGGTCAAACAGAGAGACAACAGGGAAACTGGGGGAAACGAACTAAAAAATCAGACATGCACCTTAAGCAGAAGGGGCTGTAACCTATGGTGGTGCACAGAGATCTAACATGGAGACTGGTGGAGATTTCCACAAAAAAATGTATTGCAACTGTTAACACCTCAACGGTACTAAAGGCACTGGCAGTGGGTAAACAAAGCACAGGAAGACAGCACTGCTTCAAAATTGATACTGACTTGTGGGTTTTGTGCTGTTTTTTAAATGAAGCTAGGCACAGTCGTCCCTCATTTTGGTTTTGTTTTTAAGAAAAAGCTTCTAATTTTGCACTCCTAATCAATCAATGATGGATGCTTTTATAAGCAGGCGAAAACAGAAATCAGATGTCAGTCTGTATTCCCAGATCAGACTGTGGGCTGTGGCACCTGAAAACAACAATCCTATGCCTATTAGCCTGAAGCAGGCAAGGAAAGCAAAGACCAGGAGGTAAGCAGCAAGCGCTTCAGGACAACGCTACGCATACACCCATACCCTAACCGGGAGAAAAAGGGAAGAAATTGGTATGTCTAACATGGCTTTTTCCCCACAAGAACTCCACTTCTGATGCTGAGAGCTGTCACAGCAGTTTTTCCAGTAGCATAATTATCTCCCTGTGAAACTTGCTTCCCTCTTCAGAGTATCACGGGGGGAAGGAGGAGGGTGTTTGCCTTTTCTTTCCAATAATGAACCCCCTGTCTGGCAGCCTCAGCATCTCTTCTCTGCTTCTTAAAATCATGCTGGCTCCAAGGCTACAGATTGAAGCTTAGCTACTCCATCATCCCAGCAACCAAATCTACATCATCTTATGTAAAGAACAACTCTGCGCTTTGCCAGCGCAGTCCCCACACAAGAGCAACAGAGCTCTGACACTTTCACAGCTTCCCATGAGGATTTAAGTATCAGATATGGAAGCGATCAGAGGCTTGTTAATCTCATTATGTTGCTCCTGCGAAAAGCTATGAGCAACCCTGGCAGTATTAAACAAATTAGTTTGTAGACAAAAAAAGTCAACACAGCTTTTGGTTAACCTTCTGGGCATGAAGTAAATGGCTCTCTGCAGCCACAAATACTAGGATTTAAGAACCGCCGCCTTCTGAAATTGATATCTTATACTGGCCTTGCTTCCCTCAATCATTAATAGAGAACGGAGATTTTCAGCCTGTGAAAATCTAAGTGTTTTCATGTGTGCCCATAAACAGCTCCCTCGGTAGCATAAGAAGCTGGGAAAGTCCCCTTTTAAAAGGGAAGCTGTCAACACCGTGCATCAGATGAAACTGTGCAAAACTAAGACATCACTGTCATTTCCTCTTCTTGCTCTATTTTTCTCAACCCAGGCCCTGTATCTGTCTAGGAAAGTACTCCATGTAGCCCGCTTTTCTTTCGGTGTACCATATGAGATCAATTGAATTTCAGAAAATTCTTCCAATCTGCTCCTACACTTTGCATGTTCCCCTAGACTAACGTTACCAAGAGCTGGTTTCGAAGTAGGTTTTGCGTATGCAGAAGCATGTTAAAGGTAGTCTTCAAGAGCAGGATTTTCAAAGGAGAACGTCTAAGTTTCAAACACACGAACAAATGTGTTAGGCCGCATGCCCGAGGCTGCAACTCACTCTTGTTACACTTGAAAGAAGGGGCTCAACATGTGCCTGAGGCCGTATAAAGTTCTCGCCTTACTGTTCTATCACTAATGGAAAACATGAAAATATTGTGTCAAGGCCCCTCTTCCCACCACTCCAAATTATGAGAATTGCTCAGAAACCATGGAAAAAAATTTAATAAGCAGCTTAGCACTTTTTATTTACCTTCTGACTCTTGATTTCACAGTATATATTAATATGGTTCTCTAAATTTTTCTCCCAGCACATCTTTATTTAAAAAACAAATAGATTTTCACATGGTCACTGTAGGCATATGCACACAAAACAGATACTTTATGTAAATAATTTTTAAAAAAGCATGGCATGCACTGGTCCAGCACACTTACACTCCAAAAACAGAAGTCAGCACAGTGACACTGAACAAGCTGCAAAGAGATACAACATATGTTTACAAATTACATTTATCTAATACAGTAAAGTAAAGCTATTTCATTTAAGCATCAGTAAGAGAAAACATACAGAGAACGACATATTCCAAAGGCTTGGAAATTTTGTGTTTGTGTTTCAGAAGTTTGTGTAACATCTTGTTACATCGCACTTTTAAAAAGGACAAAACCTTCCGAAATACACAAATGAAGAAATCTGGCCAGAAACTGAAATGTGTCTGCATGGTTAAAACAATCCTTAAGGGCTGACATCTCATCTGCTACATTCCAATCCTGAGCAAGGTTTGGAGCACTAACTCATAAACCCTGGGGAAAAAATGTTGAGAAATCCTTGACTATTCAATAGCACTGCAAATAGGAAAATTGCTGTATAATACATAATGACAAGGAGAAAACACACATTGCTGGAGTTCATTAGTGTGTCTCATTTGGTTTACAACAGCGAGCTGCACCCAGAGACTCAGATCAAGTGGAGAGTCATAACACAACTGTCCCCTCTTAGAGCGGTTAAATCCCATCAGGGCTACACACTGCTTCAAATTCATTTGCCAAGAGAAAGCAAACCATTACCACCGCCTGTGTATCAGCTCAAGGTCCAACAAAGCCATCATCCTATTTCAGCAAAAGCAATAGGATGCTTGTGATCACCCAGCTAAAACTGCCCCCAGCTTGAACTGTCTGAATTAAAAAACAAACGGCTGTGTTAAACTCTTGGCATGCTAATGTAACAAGGGCTTTCCAGGCTTTAATGTTATAAGTGTCAGGTTAAAAGCCCTTCCCCAAGTCTGATTAACCAGAGATTTCAGACCTCCAAGAGGCTTCAGAATTAACCTAGAGTAAATGTAAATATGTAACCCAACAAGCAGTAATGCACTGTCATCTTCTGGATGCTTCAAAAGTTCATTCCAGCCATGGGACTTACTGAAAGGGAATGCAAAGCTGGACAACCTTTCATAAATTCAAGTGGGGGCCATGACGTAACGTAACACGGATGATCCAACACTTACACACTGTTCCCGGCCCAGGAAGACGAGCGGAGGTCCAGCTTGGCTCTGCCGAATGTTGTGCTCCCAATTACGACTACCACCTCGTAAATGAGGCTGGTCTTTGCCACCACAAAGCATCTCGGACCAGACACTGGTTGCCTTCAGCTTTGAAAACTGTAACAGATCTTTTAGTAAGTATTGTGCTTTTACTGCTCTTTTACACAAAGAAGGAGGAGACTCTGATTAGATCATGGGTTGCGTAAGAAAAGGCAGCTGACAGAAAAGCAGGTATTACGTCACCTCCAAAGCGTCTCCAGAGGTGCTGGGATAACAGATTTCACCTTCAGAGTTGCAGAAGGAATGAACACAAGATGTGAGAAAAGCTGGAATATAAACAGCGCTCCAAAGCAAAAGGTACCCAGTTCAAATTCCTCCCGCTTTTCCTCCCATCATCCCCACTCTAAGCCACACTCCGGTCCCTACCAACAGGCCAGAACAAAGCAGCTGGCACGAGTGTGAAATGCACAGAAGTGTGGGAGGTTTATGTTTAATTTCCTTTCTGGATATACGCTTCAAACATTTGCAAGTTCTTGTCCAGAAACAGTACACAGAAAGCTCCTTCAATGAATAAACAAATAAGAACAACAAACAGGTAGGTAATAACAGTATACTGACATGCTAAGGAACTGAGGTGATGCCTGCTCTAGTTCTCAGCCCTTGCCACCACATCCTGTTACTATTTCCAACACGCAGTAAATTCAAAGGAATACACAAAAGGTGTACATCTGCCTCTTTTTCTTTTTGCATGAATACACATTGAAATCTACCCTGTTCTGACTCAGCAGCTAAAGAGCTGCCTGCTTTGGTTGTTATACTCATGACTGGAAAGCTCAGATCCCATCCCAGTTCTTCTGCTTTCTGTCCATGACATCCACCACTTCAAAGTCACCTTATTTCTCCCTTCCATCATCTATTCTGTGGTGGTTTTTCTTTTCTCTAGGCTGATAACTGAACCGAAGCTAGGAAGAACATTCGTTTTTATGACACAGGACCACCAGTGAAAAACAGGGGATTTACTTCACTGACCGCTGTTGGGAGCAGAATATCGAA